AATGCAAGAAATCTACAGTATGCAACTCATTGAACTACTTGTAAAGATCGCTACAAGTAAGAATAAATGCAGGTCTCACGCCCGAGCATAATTCTACGCCCTTTTCACCTTTTCGATACATTACGTTTGCTCGAGAACTGCATAAGAACATTGTTGGGTATTCATGCAAGCATTTTTAATCTAAAGTTATTGATCTAACAGACCCCAATCTGTGCATGTCTCACACCATTCTACGATTACCTATAAGTAAGGATTCTCGACAGAATCCAAAACGTCAGGAAAATACGATCATTGTTCCAGTGATCCCATCTTCTTCTTCTGAACTGCTTCCTGGAACTCGCATATTCTCCTCTATTGGCAAGGACGATTATCATTAATAATGAGAGCTCTACACAGTAGTGTTTGCTTACTGTGGAGAATGGAGTTGTTTTGAGTTTTTTTGGTTGGACAGACTAATTCACGCATTAAGTTAGAACTATATAAACGTTCAAACGTACCATGAATGGGACAAGCTGAAAAGTTCAAAAAAAATATTAAGGAATGTTTTCATTGTTATATTCAAGATTTACAATTAAACGAGGTGGTTAATGGAAAAAGTAGGCAAAGGCAAGAATTTATATTTGGGAATGACATCCGGCCTGTAGGAGAGATTGTTAGAATACCAACCTGATTTTGAAGATTTGTGTTGTAATTTGTCTATAATGGCAGGGCAGAAACTTAAAATCCCACAGTACAAAATCTCAAAAAAGCAAAATTATCAAAAAACACTGATGGTATCACTAGTTTAACAATTAATTAAGAGGCAATTTTGCACTTACCATGCGAAGAGCTTCGTTCCGCTGACCTAACTGTAATGATACATGATGTAAAGTTATTAATTTCCTTAGGAGGGCAAGTCAAAGTGTTTTCCCGGAAATTGCAAATTAGACATGCCTTCAAAAAACGCCATTGGTGTCAGTAATTCAACAAGTAATTAAGAGAAATTTTGCGCTTACCATGCTTACTGCGCGAAGAGCTTCGTTCTGATGACCTACCTTTAATGATACATGACGTAAAGTTATTAATTTGTTTAAGATGGCAAATCAAAAAATATTTCCGAAAATAATAAATTCATGCCTTCAAAAAACGCCATTCGCATCACTAATTCAACAGGTAATTAAGAGAAAATTTTGCGCTTACCGCGCGAAGAGCTTTGTCCTTCTGACCTACCTTTAGTGTTACATGAGATTAAAAGGTATTTATTTGTTTAGAATAGCAAACCGAAATAACTTCCGAAAATTTTAAATAAGTTTTGCCTTCTTTAAGTTATGTTGTGACACAAAGAAAGGAAAGGGTAACATAGGACAATATAGGTTTTTGAAGAACAATTTTAAGTCACCGTCTGGTAGGTAATTATTGCAGCCAAATCCGAGAAATATGTGTCTTACTTCCATAATTTTAGCACAAGATCAATTCTTAATGTCGCCTGAGCCTTCGACCATGATGAACGGTAGCCTAAGTACATCCCAGTGTCTAACCACTTGTCACTTCATCAAAAATAACGTTCACCTGACACTTAGCATTTTAGAATGTTAATCTCTTTTATTTACTCAAACCGTATAAAATTCAAGTCACATGCAAGACATCTCCGTATTTGCTCACGTTTAACTTTTATAATGTTGCGAGACTATCCGATGAACTGGTCATCTCAGAGCATACCAACAACCTTTAGCTGTCTAAGTCAGAATATGTTTCCTTGCATGAATGCCTCCCCGAAGGAAGAGCCAGAATCTTCTTCAGGCATTGATCGGTGACATCAAGCCTTTACTTGACTGTAAATATCCCAAACCACTTGGTAGATGTGCTTTTAAACATCGTGCCAGTAAAATATGCTTCGATGTTTTACGGCCACAGGTCAGACTCTCCTTGCGTTCATGGCAACTGAAGTTGCAGAACGAACAAATCCATGAATGGATTTTGGAGAAAAAGATGCTTTCTCAAACAAATCTAAACTAAGCTCCGTTACTACATATGTTGCCTTTTCAACAGAGAAGGTGACCCGCAGCAATATTAAATACTAGTGATCAAATACTTACTGCGCACGGGTTTTTTGCACACTTTCATTTCCATCAGTTCATCTGCGGTTAGAAAAATAATATGTTATGAAACTTGACCCTAAGCTTCTCGTGTTATACACACGGGCTTGAAAGTCGGCACAGTTGACTTTCAAAATCGACTAGCAAAGGCATTTGAAATATCCAAGCCCCTTTTTGTTCGCTTCGTTTGTAGGTTCGGTATGTATGTACTTATAACCGGTAGTGTAAGGTACATAAAACACCATCAGAGGACAGTTACGTGTTACGGGATAAAGAGATCCACGAACCAATAATGCGTTTATTTAATTTCCAAACTTACGATGTGAGATTAAATTCTTGGTACTCATGGTTGCTATAAAAAATAGAAGAACAGAATGTATATGATAAAGGTTGACATTATTTATGTCTAAGATTGCCTTAAAAGGGAACTTACCTTCAGTGAATTTAATATCGCCTTGATACTCTAAAAGATTGCACAGCGAAGTGTTTAGGTTCCGCTTAAAATCATGGTGTCTATGAAATTCGGCATTTAAAAAAGTAAGATAAATCAACCTTGTTCCCAAATTTTTTGCATTTCTTTATGCTATCGATATCTGTAATAAGAAACTGGTCCTAGCTAAATGCTAGAAAACACGGAAATCGTCACTGTTACTGGGATTTAACGCCTCATTTTAAGGCCACCATCCAAATAATTGAAGATTCCGGTTGCCACACATGTCGAAAACAGGAAGCGGATAGTTTGAATTTTTTGGGGGTGAATGACGAGATCCTATGCAGGTGTTAATTTTACTGACGTTTTCTCCATAAGTATGTAATCAGCATGGCAGCGTACTGCATATAAAGTGACTGTGATCGTTAGAAAAATGAAACATCAGACAAATTTAATTAATGCTTAAGAATAAAACGTTTGAGTAAGTAAACACAGGCAGGGACTTACGTCGCGTCTTGTGCGGCTTCTGCTTGATGACTTCGTCTAAAAGTTACAATACACTTAGATCAGGATTGGTAATAGACTAGCGTTTTCGTATATTAACATAAAGTTGACTCGGCGGAAGTAGCTAATTAACTGAGAATTATGTAAACCAGTATATCCGGACTGTAGGGTGGAACTCAGAATTTTGACTTTAAATGAGAGGTAACCATGTACGGCTCACCCCAGAACTTGCATTAGGACAAACAATAAAAAAGTCGGAATTTTTGTCTACCTAGATAAGGTAATGTGTGGATATTTAATGTTGTCAGCCAGTGATACCGTTACGCAAGGCCGCACATTCGAGATTCAAAGTCTGATAGTTGAATATTTTAAAAATGCTATCAAAACCAATATCTCCGAAACTATACAGTGAGCCCTACTTACTTCCCTTTCCTTACTTTTATAATCGAGCACACCACTTTGTTACTTATTTGGTTCACTAATAACCTTTGCATGTACTGTAATATTTTCTACTTAAATGCACAAATTCTGCACCGGATATCCAGCTAGGTTGATGCAGGGATCACGCATTTTCGTAGTATCCAACTAAATCTGTGTTCAAATACCAGATGTCGAGGCCCGCACTAGGGTGGCAATTCAAGTTATCCTACCTTATTCAGTATAAACCTCTCAGTGGGTGAGTGCTACTGACTATGCGACCCCGTGCATAGACTGTAAACATCCCTTTTTTGGCAGTGTGCTTTAGATTGAAGGATATGAGTGAGCCATTCCAATTACTGCAGTCAGAATAGATGAGTGCAAACGGCTGAGCACTCCCCATGTCGTTGGACCGGATGCGGGCATGCTCGTGGAGTAGTGAGGGACTAATGGATGGTGAACTGAGCGGGCGTTTG